CCCCAAAACCCCAAAACCCCAAAACCCCGCTCATCTAAACAGTTCTTTATCAATAGTATTATAATAATTATATTCAGTTAATTCTTTTTTACATTTGTGCGAATTTCTAATGATGATAGAATATTGAATTGTTAATTAGCCCTCTATTCTTAGAGTTAGAGTGAATAGGTCTTCTTTAGTCATTGGTCTATGCACTTAGCAACCTACTCTGCTTGAATTCTTGCTTATTCTCTTGATTTTAATTTGTTAACTATTAGGGATGTAGCTGAGAAAAACTTGTTGCTAAATTTGCAGTTGATACTCTCTCAGCAAATTGAATATTCTGATAAGATGCCTGGTCAGTATAGGTTTACTGCTATTGTTACATGATCTAGGAACCATATTGGCTTTGGAACAAACTATGAGACCTTGGCTAATTCTGATTCTAATTGTTAATTAGGTTTTACATTCTCTGACGGTTGTTGCTATTTAAACGCTTGATATTCTCACCTGTAAAAGGTCTTTGGTATTAAGCTGACATAGCTGTACTTTGATTTATTAGTACTGACTTATTAGAAGCTGTGTAATTCTTGTTAAGTGTTGCATTACTTTAGATACCATAGTGATTATTATCAGAGGATGCGATTGCATTTAGATTCTGCTAACTTGATAGACTTGAGGGATGATTCAAGATTCTTGCTCCATATTAATTAATAGGTCCAGACATTTATGTTGGGACTATGTTTTGGAAGCTCTATATTACTTTAGACTTGTTTTGTGTGGTGACTACCTTTCTATTGTTATGAGCGAATGAATTTTAAAGTTAAGATTTGCTAAGACCACCTAGCCTCTGACTTAATCTGGATGTTTTCATCATTAACACCTTTGTTTTTTCATGATCTCTTTCATCAAAGACTTTCATTTAAGGTTCATAGACTGATTCCTTATGCTAGCTTAATACCAGTTAGGACTCGTTCATCATATAACTATGCTTGTATTTGGCATCTCTAATTTGCTACAAATTTGAGTCATTTAGCTAATCCTCATTTTGACTCATGCTGTTGTATCTATTATTACTATAGTAATCCCTACCTTTATTATCAACTTTGATTTTCTATCTAGCTGATTGCAAGTTAAAATCAGTCCTACCTTATTTGATTTTAAATGCTGAAACTGCTGTACCCTGATTATTTTCTTCGAACTCAGCTGCTCTATCTCCCTTGAAGGACGCAGTACTTATACTAGCTGTTATATTGACATGAATTTCATGTCGTTTTCTTTAGTGCCTAGGCATGCTCTATGATTTAGGATGAGTTATTTACTCTAATTGCAAATTATTCGGGTTCTAAGAGAAATTAGTCAGCATTATTTCTTTCACACTTGATTCTGTAGCTTATTTACCCTAGAGAAATGATAAGTTCTTAAGAGATTTGGGTCCAACATTCCTTAGCTCCATTCCAATTTTGTTCATCATCTTTGAATAGGATTTTGCTATCTTGGTTTGTATCTGTTCTTTCTTTATCTCATTAAGCTTTAACTCATAATCTGCAGACCTCTCATAGACTGGTCTATCTATGATGTTAGGAGTGGCATTTTGAGTAAGGAGATTGAAATCTGGATGAAGCAGAGGTCTTGTAATTCTATAAGATGTTCTATCTGATTCCTCAAGGGTTTTCCTTTAAAATGACTATTTATTAGCTGAATAATTGGAGTTTATTGATTAAGGATGATAGGCAAAGTTGGCATTAGATCTATGCTAACTCGTTTTAAATTAAAACTTAGAGCTAGCCAGTTATTGATCTTCTTACTTATTAGATTTCAACTACTGATGAGAAATATTATGAGAGTCTATGTTGAGATTCATAAACTAATCCACATAGTCATTTGGAATCTCAACTGCTTTAGACTAAGTCTAATCCTCATAGTAAATATTACTAATTCTAGCTGTCTTAAAGTCCTTTTATGACTCAGCTATTTCTCTTTGAATATCAAATGTATACTCATTGTGTGCTTATGAGTCTTGATTAAGTTATTTGTTTTAAATAGCTATTGAAGAATCTTATTGAATGCTCTATCCACTAACAGTTTTATCCTGATAAATCAAAAGATCAGACCTACTCTGCTCATTTGGAGTAGGAGAGTAATAGTAATGAATCTCTTCAAGATCTTGCTGCTACTTCTGGGTGTTTTGAGTAACAATCTAAGATTCTTCTTTAATGTCTTTATTTATTTGATTAATAATGTGCTTATTTTAAGAGTGAATTCGTTTTCTTTGGGATTATGATTTAGAAACTGTTTAAGATTTACCAACTATATGAGGAGATCTTATTGGACTCTTGCTTAGGTTAGAGTTATCAAGATGCATTCCAATATCACTATTAAAAGCCATTGATCCATCTCCTTTCCTCAAATTTTGCCTATGAGTATTCTGACCATATTTATTTTGGAGTTTTTAATTTTGACTCATCATAAGCCCCCCGCTCATTAACATTAGGTCACTATTTGTCAGTGACTCTGTATTTCCATTTTTAAATTTTTTATCTACAATTTTGTGTAATGGGCTCATGCTGTTAATATTACTCTGATCAACGTTCTATTATTAAGCTTATTATAATTAAACTTATTCATGAAAATTGACAAGGGCTTGCTGAACTTGCTACCTTATCACATGATCATATTAATCCCTTACATAATCTACAATCTTTTGACCAATAGTTTTAATATTAGTTCCAGAGACACCAAGCGACTGCTATTGTCTCTCTTTTATCTTTTTAATTCTATTAGAAAGTAGCCTATTTTCCTCATCCTCTTGCTTTCTTTGATAGATATAGGGATTGAATTTGTGAGTCTAATCTTGGACCTCTCTTTTTCTTTGCTATTCTATCTACCAATACAAACTATATGCCATTTTTTGATCTTTAGTCATTGCCTTTATTTATTCTAAAAGCTGTTTATCTTCAAAGTTCAAATCTTAATTCATGTTGAAGTATTGAGTTTCTAATGTCTCATCTTAAATATCCTTCAATGATACTTGAAGCTGTTATTGTTATTATTATATCAAAGTCTCGTTATCAGATCTCCCATTATTATTGGTAACTTGATATATTTTTGAAGATTTATTTTTGTAATGCCTATATGACTAATGTAAATCAATCGTCATTCTATGGTCGTTTTCATCGAAATTTCTTAGGAATTTCTCCTTGCTAGCATCAGTTGCTAAATCTGGATAGATAGGCTCACACATTGGAGTTACAGAATGAGATTGAATATGCCTTGATACAGACAATCTATCAATTGTAATTATCATATTAGAATCAGATTCCTAAGGCACTTAGAGATGATTGTTGGTTTAAACTTGAGATTGAATATCCTTCTCCTTAGATTTATAAATAAACGGAGAACCTTCATTTTATTCATATCTATTCTCAACCAATCCCAATTTCTGCATATTGCTTTCTTGTGTTACTGTATCGTATATTCCATTTTATATAACTAAGTGAGCAGTCATTGAAGATGTCACATATGGATTATCTTTATTTAAGCTGCTTGACTAGTGATCTTTATCCTAAATCTATTTATTTTCCTCAAGTTGAAGCTGCTAGAGATGCAATTTATTGCTCTTTTATTTCTTTGCTTTTCTTTCATTGTCCTATCTAATGGTTTTGGATGACTTTAATGTTTTAGTCTTAACCTTTATTCCAAATTGTACTAAATCATGATTCATTATTATATTGTCTTGCTGCTATCTATTCTGTGATCTCTAGCTTGTGCTCCCTTTATATATGTGATCAGCATAATCATCTTTTAAAGCTTTTATTTGCTACTTCTTCAAAACAATCTTCTTCATATGTGGATCATCAAATTTTATATTCATAGTGTGAGGCTTAGCATTCTCAATTTGCTCTTAATTATTCTGAATCCTAGTATGTTTAGGTGTCATGATATAAGCACTATTGCCATAGATATTTCGATATTAAATATTATTGGGAGTTGAGTCTTTGAATGATGTAATTTTACTATTGCTGTGACTAGTCCTTTAAACTACAACTTCAATACTTTTGCTCAAGTATTCATTTTAGCCAGAGCTAAGTTGACCAATTGAGGATTTTATGCCTCTTTCATCAATTGGCTAGATATTTGAAGTATGTCTTTTATGATTATCACTACTGATATTTTAAGAGTCAAAAACCTTTCGATGATCCTCAGTTAACTGATTGAATTGCAATTTCGAGTCCATGCTAAAAGAGTTAGTATTTTTCCTTTTTTACTAGCTTTAATTTGTGTTATTGATTTCGTCATCTCTTACTAGGATGTTTTTATTGAATGTAGAGTGCTTTAACTCACTGTTCTAACTAATTTCTTTTTACTTAAGAATAGACTACTGGAAGATATTAGCAGGGGGTTACTGATGCAAATTTCTTGGCTGCATTTGCCTTATATCATCAAACATCGCAAGTTCAGTGTTTAATGGTGAAGCCTAGTCAAAAGAGAGTTTTGAACTATTCTAGTCAAAGACAATATGTTAATGTTTATAGTTACCTCTGCTGTGTTGTTCACTTGATTTATTGTTATTACTAGGACTACTTTAGTGATGATTTTACACTTTCCATGCTCCTAGACTACTGCTCTACTAATTCTTTAATTTTAATCCTTGCTTTTTCTATAAGGCAAAACTTCTACTTTGATGCTTGTCCTAAGGTCTAACTTTAGGGTCACTTATAACTGTCTATATTTTTATAACTTTCTCAGGGTTCTTCATTATATCAGTACTATCAATCATTTAAATCTCTTAAGTACTATGATTCATCACTACAATTTATTATTAAGTGGTCTTTGGAGAGATGTTAACACCTACTACAACATTATTCATTTTCCTCAGCTTCTTAATTTTCTTAGTTTTGGCATTGAATTCAAAACTCTTCGACAGCATTTTATTTCGCTTATCGTTCTTAATTAAATCAGTAGCTAATACGTTCGGCTTGAACCTTTTCATCATCGTATTTTGTTTGTAATTTGGAAGAAAGCAATTATTCTATGTTTTGAGTGTTTTTTCAATCTGTTTTTAAACATTATTCATCTATTTCCTCTTGTCTTTATATTTAAAATAACCCAGCTAATTATTTTGATCTTGAATTTATTGCTGATCTGAATCATTTTTAGCAACACTTAGGTTGTAGTTAAGTAGCTGAATTGATTTGTCAAAGTATGATTAAAGAATTTCGTTTTCATTCATTGCTCGATTGAAATTAGAATCTGATTTATTTTCCTTCAACTTTAAATCCTCCTTACTATTGCTTGCAATGTTTACAAGAATTTGAGACTTTCCGGTGAATTCTCCATTTTACTCATGAAGTTAATTACCTCTATTGCTATCTAGTTAATGTCTGTTATCATCTTCTAATAACTTTGTATCTCAATTAATTTCTTTGAATGGTGATTTACTAATTAAATTTTGATGAGCAATGGATTATTTCAATTATTTCTTGTGTAACTGCTGTTGATTATTCTAATTAGGTATTGCTTGGGTTTTTCTAATTTATTATGTATTCGGGTTATGATTAATGTAATTGTTATTATTGTTAAACTTGCTTTGCAAGTTCAAGGATTAGTTTGTAGATGCAAAAATGTTACCTTCAGATGCTCCTTAAGCTAACTCATTATGTGAAGTGATAGTTTAAATATTAGTTTTTTATACTTCATGGTACTCTCTTTTATGTGTGTTAGCCACAAGTGCTCTAACTTCCATTATTTAAGAAAATTAAACTAAAATTCATGTAATTCATTTGATTATTATCTCAAATAAGCAAGATTTTTAGTAGTATGGGGTTTTGGGGTTTTGGGGTTTTGGGGTTTTGGGG